TACATGCAGGCAAAAACTTGTACACAAAAAGTAGAAACAATAAGTAAAATATTTAAAAAATAAAATCACGGACACAAACAGAACCTGTGTGGCAGGGAATACCTTTCCATGCTCTCTGGACTCATGGGAAAATTTTTTTTCTTTTTGCAAAAAAAAAAAAAAAGGTTTCCCTGCTTGTAATATGTTACCTGGATCTAACCTGCTAAGTAGTGTTTGCTCTTCTCCTGTTTTAATTGTGTGGTATTCCATCTTGGGGTGGCCTGTCCTTCATTTCAATGACCCCTTGGTGACAAGTATTTAGGTTTGTGTCCTGAAAGCTTTCCTTCCTTCCTTCCTTCCTTCCTTCCTTCCTTCCTTCCTTCCTTCCTTCCTTCCTTCCTTCCTTCCCTCCCTCCCTCCCTCCCTCCCTCCCTCTCCCTGATCTCTTTGTCTCCTCTCTCTCATTCTCTCTCTCTCATTCTCCCTCCTTCCCTCCTTCCCTCTCTCCCTCCCTCCCTCTCTCCTTCCTTCCTTCCTTCCTTCTGATTTGTTTATTATCTGTTTATGTGTGTATTTGCCTTTGTGAGTTTATGTGTACCACATGCATGCAGATGCCCTTGGAGGCTAGAAGAGGGTGCCAGCTAATCTGAAACTGGAGTTGCAGGCAGTTGTGAGCCCCCTGACATGGGAACCAAACCCTGGTCCTCTGCAAGAGCAGTGTGCGCTCTTAACCTCTGAGCCATCTCGTTACTCCCAGCTGTCTCTCTAGCCCATGTGAAGGTTTTTTTTTTTTTTTTATACGTTATAGTTTGATTCAGAAACCCAAACCAGACCACTGCAGTTGAACACAAACCCCCTGCATCCTGGGGAGTCCAGGACTGCCCCTGGCATTGTCCCTAGGTAAGGATAGGTGCCCCTAAACTGTCAGTTGTTCCTTCTTCTGAGGTCTTCCTCTGTGCTGTGCCCATGGGATGACTGAGGACCAGAGCCCCCACTCCACCGTGGGCCATGTTAACCCAGCACACTCAGAGAAAGCCTGAGCTTTTAGTGTGAAATCACGTCCTAGGCCAGGACAAACAAATCTCTGTGTGATTAAAGAATGTTTCATAAGAGTTACCACCAGGAAGCAAGCACTCTCCAGCCTGAATCACTGTGACAGCAACCAAATCAAACAGCTACAGAAACAGGGCCCAGTGGAAAGTGGTCACTGGATATTGTTGGATATACATCAGTGCTGGGGTGCAGGAGCTTTCCACATGCTCCCTCACTCTACCCTCCCCCTCCGTTCACACATGTTTATCCAGTAGCTTCAGAGCGCCGAAGGCTGTTCTGGAAATGACCAGGCAGCAGGAATAAGACCTGCATGTTCTGGGTGCTTAGGGACAGTTGGAATAAGTCCAACTGTGGCTACTCCTGAGCAGGAATGAAGGTGGGGGTGTGAGGACTCAGAGGGCTGGAAGTCCCCATTGAGGGTCAGTATTCAGCATGGAGGCCCCCAGTAAGGGGCAGGTAAAGCAGAACAGTGCTCTGGAAGCTCTCTTAACCCCTGAGCCATCTCTCTAGCCTGGAGAGCCCCTAATCTTAGCAGTTGTAAGACTGTTCAAGTGCCTAAAGTCCAAAGTCTTCTGAGACTGAAGGCACTCTTTAAGTTGCAACTTCCTACCATATAGAAAAAGTACAAATCAAGTTACATACTTCCATCATACAGTGGTACACAGTAAATATTTCTACAAGAGAGGATCAGGAACATACAAGGACAGACCAAACCAAAGCAACGCTAGCAAGACAAAATCAAACCCTGCGGCTCCATGTCTGTCCTCTGGGGCTTGTGGTGACATCATCTGGGTCTCAACAAGCTTGAAAATCCCAGTCCCTCAGCCCTGCCACCTACAGCACATGTAATCTATCTCAGGTCAGTTCTGCTGCGTGCCGATAATTTCCTTGGAGGATGTCCCGCGGTCCTGGGGTCCTGGCGTATCCAGCATCCCGACGAATGTCTCCACTGCAAATCAGGCTTCACCTTTGCAGCGTCCCCCAGTGCCCTCTCAGGGCCTCCACGGGAATCCAGCCCTGCTGCACACAGTCTGGTCTCAGGGGCTTTCCAGAACTTGGTGCAAGCCTCCATGGTCTCCTCTTGCGTTGTACATGCCTGTGAACCCACGTGGATGGCACGTCCTGCCAACTCGGGCCATGGACCCCTCTCCTTTCACATAGGTTTAGTGGCCTCCGTGAACCTCTGTGGCTGAACCTGGGTGGTGGTTTTGGGTCAAGGAAGCACTTCAGTGACTTTCTCAGTTCAGTTTCTCTCCTTTCAAATGGATTTGCATTTTTACAAGCTAGAGACCTTGGCGGGTGGAGTCTTGCCCTCCCCAGACCTTTCTTTTTTTTTCTATGTTTTTTAAATTTTTATTTTTCTAATGTGTACGCGTGTATTGCCTACATGTAGATGAGTGCACCCGTGTCGTGCAGTGCCCACAGGGGACAGAAGAGGCTGTCGGATCCCCTGGAACTGGAGTTACGGACAGCTGTTAGCTGCCATGTGGGTGCTGGGATTCGAACCCGGGTCTTCTGCAAGAACAACCAGTGTTCTTAACTGCCGAGCCATCTCTCCAGCCTCCCGGACCTTTCTCATTGGCCCATGCAGAACCTGAAGTTTCTCTTCATGGATCTAATCTCTAAGAATTATAAAGTGTTTCACAAGCCCCTTTCCTCCAGAACTCTACATTTCCATATCTCTCTGCTCTACTTGATCTCCCTCACTATAAACCTGGATAAGAGCTGTGAGCAGAAACCATACCAAGGCCAACTGCTAACACCATCTTGGTATTTCCTCCACCAAACAACTTAGTCCACTACCCTCTCACCCACATTTTCAGGACACAGGTAGAATGTAGCCAGATTATATGCCAAAGCATAATATTATATGCCCAGTTCCTGATAGTTCCCTTGTTTTCCTCTAAAGCATCATGAACACAGCCTCACTGTCTGTCTTCGTATTGTCTTGCTGGTCTTCCACACTCCCATCAGGATGCCCCATTAAGCTCTGCTTACAGCATTCTGGGACTCTCTAGCCCATAGCTTCAAGCTCATCCCAGTTCCTCTTGTAGATCAGTTCCAAAGGCCTGTGAACCACATGGTCAGGTTTGTCACAGCGATGGCCTTGGCTTCCAGCAGGGCACACTGTCTACATTACTTTCACTTTCATTGCAGGGCAGTATGCCACCGTGTGGCCCTCTGATTGCTGCCCCTTGCCCAGCTCATGGGGGTTTGGATGGCTTCTAGTTTCATGGTGTGTGTGTGTATGTACATGCATGTGTATGTACACATGGGGGTATATGTGTGTGTGTGTGTGTGTGTATGTGTGTGTGTGTGTGTGTGTGTGTATGCTATGTTTAGGTTCACAAATTGCTGAAACTTTAGCATAACTGAATTTTTCATTTTTAAAGATTTTATTTCTTTATCATTCTTGTGCGTGTGTCCGTCCATGTGGGTATGTGCCTGTGAGTGTAGGGGGCGGGCTGCAGAGGCCGGAAGTGTTAAATGTCCTGGAGCTAGAGTTACAAGCAGTTGTGTCCACCCTATATGGGTGCTGAGAGCTGAACTCAGGTTATCTGGAAGAGCATTGGCTACTCTTGCAGAGAACTCTCCTAATGCAAAATACATTCAGCCCAACTTCAAAAGTCTTCACAGTCTTGAACAGTTCTGGCCCTATTCAAAGTGTAAGCTCAGCGTCTTTTCTGAGACTCGGGCATTTTCTTAACTGTGAGCTCCTATTCAATCCAAAAACAAATTACACGTGTCCAATATAAAATGAGTAAAGGGAGTAAATGGGGGCACAGCAAGGGGAGATCAAACCACAGCAAGACCAAAACGCAGCAGAGAAAATGCCAAATCCTGCAGCTCCATGTCTGACATCTAGGACTCATGATGGAATTGTCCTGGGCTCCAACGGGTTTGGGGAGCCTCCCTCCCCTGGCTCTGCTGCCCACAGCACATACAGACTCTTTCTGGGGCCAGCTGCACTCCCTGCCTGCAGCTTTCCTTGGTGGATGTCTCGTGGTAACTGTCAACATCCCTGCGTCTCCATTACAGCTTAGCTTTACTTTGCTGCGGTGGCGTCCCCAGGCCTCTTTGCAGGGATTCCAAATCTGCCGCACATACTTGGGCTTGGCGGCTCTGTGGAACCATGGCTCAAGACTCCACGAACCCCTTCAGTCTTACATCTTTCATGCCTGTGACGTCCACGTGGACATTACTGCCAAATTCTGCGAGCCGTGGATGCAGCCTGGCGCCCTTGGGCTACAGTTGCCGCAGCCTTTATGTGCCGATAGTTTGAAGGGGATGTAGTTCTTCATGGCGGGGAAGGTATGGCAGTGTTGGGGAGGAGGTGCCTGGTCACATTGCATCCACAGCTAAGAAGCAGAGAGATAGAAGCTCTTCTGTACGTTTATAAAGCGGTGTTTATTCAATATCCCTACATGCTAGCCGTACAGAGATAGGCAGGACAAGGCTGAGAGAGCTGGAGCCCGTGACATGGCTCACCTGATGGGGATGTTCTTTTGTGGCACCAGTGTTGGCCTGATGGTGGGATTTGAGCTGAATGGGGGTAATGGAGGAACTGTGAGCAGAGGGGAGGTTGGGGCAGGGGGGATGCTCAGGTGGCTGGGAGAGAACAGAGAGGATAAAGCCAAGATCCTGGGTTTCATAACTGGAGTAGAATACATGAACTGAAGAGTCCCGGGTGATAAGAGACTGAATCATGGTGGCCTCTGGGGTGACCTGCTCTGTCATTTGGAGTCACTGAAGGTTTCTGCAAGAGAAGGGCATGCTGGGAGCTGTTCTTTGGGAAGCTGTGTGTGGGCAACAGTGTCAGGGAGAGGATGGAGCTGGGGAAGGGGGAAGTTGAGAGTAGGGAGTAGGAAAATCGAGGTGCCCAGGCTGACTTTTTCCTTCGCTGTGTGTATCTGAGGCTGCTCCTGGGGTGGGGTTTCCGGACCTTGACTCCACGGACTTCCGAATGACCCCTGGTCTCCTTGTGTCCCACAGATGGCATCCACAGCGTCACAGCCCTCTGCACTCTGCGTGTCACCATCATTACCGATGACATGCTGACCAACAGCATCACCGTCCGCCTGGAGAACATGTCTCAGGAGAAGTTCCTGTCTCCACTGCTGTCCCTCTTTGTAGAAGGGGTGGCCACAGTGCTGTCCACCACCAAAGATGACATCTTCGTCTTCAACATCCAGAATGACACGGACGTCAGCTCCAACATCCTGAATGTGACCTTCTCAGCGCTGCTCCCTGGTGGTGCCCGAGGCCGCTTCTTCCCGTCAGAGGACCTTCAGGAGCAGATCTACCTCAACCGGACCCTGCTGACCACCATCTCTGCCCAGCGTGTGTTGCCCTTTGACGACAACATCTGCCTGCGGGAGCCCTGTGAGAACTACATGAAGTGCGTGTCCGTGCTCAGGTTTGACAGCTCGGCACCCTTCATCAGCTCTACCACGGTGCTCTTCCGGCCCATCCATCCCATCACCGGCCTGCGATGCCGCTGCCCACCCGGCTTCACCGGAGACTACTGTGAGACTGAGATTGACCTCTGCTACTCCAGCCCATGCGGTGCCAATGGCCGGTGCCGGAGTCGAGAGGGCGGCTACAGCTGTGAGTGCTTTGAGGACTTCACAGGTAGGTGTCCGGAGCCCATGGGACAGGCTGCCAGGGGCTGACCCCTGCTTTGCACAGACACTCCCAGTGGGCACGAGTGAGGGTTTCCTGTGGGTTCCAAGAGGGATAAGGTTAGAGGACAGGTCCTGGGCTCAGGTGTCAGCTCCATACACCCTGAGGTGGCCTCTGTAGTGGCAGTTTCCTTAGCCAGTGGGGACACAGGAAGCTGCTGGATCCTGGTCTCCCAGGTCTCATTCACTTTCCCTGTAAGACTCAAGCTGCCATCTTTGAGGGTAGAAGAGAGGCTGCAGGTGAGATCTGCTTTCAGTAACCAAATGCTTGGGCAGTGTGTAGTTTCTCAGTGGGTTGTATTGTTTTGAGATGGGGTCTGGCTGCAAAGCCTAGCCTGGCCTTAAAATCATGGCAATCCTCCTGCCTCAGTTTCCTGAATCTAAGAGCTGCTTCTAAGTGGGTTTAAAGTTAAAGGCCTCTCTCTATTTCAGAATTCAGGTTTAACTGGTTAGTGTAAAAGACTAAAGCTGGGCTAGAAATCCTGAGCCGTTAATCGCTTGGGTCCTGAAAGCAGTTGCCAGTTTGATTTATGCCTCATGGTTGCTGTAGAAAATGACTCACCTTCCCCCGCCTCCCCCAAGATACTCTTAACTCAGCACATCCTGACTATTCACAAAGGCCTGTTGCTCGGAATGTAGCCAATGGTAGCTTTAGAAACAAAGCACTAGGGGCTGGAGAGATGGCCCAGTGGTTAAGAGCACTGACTGCTCTTGCAGAGGACCCGGGTTCAATTCCCAGAACCCACATGGCAGCTACGAACCATCCTTAACTCCAGTTCCAGGGGAATCCGAAGCCCTCTTCTGACCTCCGCAGCATTGCACAACATGGGTGCACTCACATGCAGGCAATACACTTGTACACATAAAATAATAAATAAGATATTAAAAACAAAAAAACAAACAAAAAACAAAGCACTAGCCCAGAGTGATATAAAAACAGCATTTCACATCCACAAATCTCACTCTGGTCTTTGATTGCTTGTTATGTACAGTTATGGCACATGTGGAAAACCAGTTCCCAATAGGCTTGGTGGTGAATGGTCTTTCTGGGGATTAGGTGAGATTCAGTTTGTACCGGAGATGGCTTTGAGACCCTTCTATCCATGATTAACAACAACTTTAATGTAAACACCCGATGAATCGCTACCCTATAGTGCCACTATCTTACCCAGGATATAGTATGAGTTTTCTGAGCTTACCGTGAGGGCTGGAGGTATTAGCAGGTGTTTATGGAGCAAGAAGAGAGAATAGACCTAGGCAGGGAGCACAGAGAGAGGAAGGTGGGTTCCGGTGGCTCTGTGCATCCAAAGAGGAGGGGACACCCTGGAGAGCTTCGGCAGCTGGTCATAGGGCTGCTGTGTTGGCCCATCGGCCCCTCAGGTTGGTTGGAGTCTGGAATGAGGTGGGGGAGGACATTTGGCTGCCCATCCGTGTTCTATGCTCTCCTGCTTGTCTGTGGCTGACTGCCAGCAGGATACGGGTAGCTTTTCCTTCTGTCTAGGGAGTGTTGATCCTGGATTCCTGGCTCTCTGGTACTTGGTGGTGAACAGGAAGTAAGGCAGGGGTACAGGGGATTGCCAACTGTCAGTGTGCATGTGAAGCACTAGGCAAAGTGGGAGGGCTGCCCCTGCCCCGCCCCTGCTCTGAGTTTAGCTAAGCTTGTTCAGTGCCACCTCAGGATGTGAGTGGTGGTACCCTCCCTGGCCTTCCTACCCCACAGTCTTCAGCGAGCATCTCTTTATAAGTACCTTGTGGGATATGCCAACCATCTGCAGGGTCAGCCAAGAAGCACCTGGATGAGCTGGCTCGTTCCGCAGTCCCTCCCTGTCATGTGGCCCTATTTGGAGGGCTTTGAGGACACTGCTGTTTCAGACCCAGAAGTTCAGGCCACTGTCCTGGGGAGGGGCAGTGCCCTCCAATGTATAAGCAGTGCTCCATCTTCATCATGCCCGTTCATGCCACAGACATTTACTGAGCACCTGCAGACATTTACTGAGTGCCTGTTGTATAACAGGCCCATGTCTGCACGTGGCCTGAGATATTGTCTGCATTCTCTTTTAAGTCTCTTCCAGCCTTCCCCCTTGGCAGGGTCACATTTGACACAGCCTTGAGACCAGACATTGCCCGGGGGCCTGACATAGCCAGCTTGTTGGAAATGCACTATGTTAGAACCACACTATGGATCTGTGAATGCTCAGATTTCCTCCCAGGACAGTTGACCCATCGGGTGCAGTCAACTAACTTGTGAAGTGCTCATATTTCCTCTCCTCATTTCTAGAAGGAGGGACAAAACAGTGGCCACATCTGTCGTCTCAGTGAGACCGGCTGAGACACGGTGATTGGCATGAGGCTAATTTGAATCTCTTTGGGCACTGAAAGCAACATACGTGTTTCCCTTGAGATAAGACTAATTAAGACTGATTACTTCTCCTCCATCCTCTTCCTCCCTTTTCCTCCTTTGAAGGACTGGCTTTTCTGTGAGGAGGTAATTGCGCTCATTTATACATGATGAAAGCCGTGCTGTCGTCACGCGGCTTTCGTTTCTTGCTCCCTGGTAAGCTGAGCTGGAGCTCTGGGCCTCACTGTGGCGAGGTTGGAATCAGCCCAAACTGTGCTGGGAGCCCTGGGTTTCCTGTGTTGTAGGACAGGAGGCTCTGGGGTAAAAGGAAGGCATCAATTAATTTCAGGAAAAGCTCACTGAATTTGATGCCAGGGAAAGTACTCCAGATAGCTCTCCTGGGTTACTGAGTTCATCCTGGCCTTAGATATGCCTAGCCCAGGGTGCCTGGGTCTCATGGTTTTTGCCAAGGGAAGAAGGCTGCTGGCTTCTTATGGTGTGTCCCTGCAAATATGGTCTCTGTGTTGGGCCCGTGGTTGGGATTAGCAACTATCCCATCGTTGGAAAGGGAAAAAGACTTAAGACGTGGACATTGGGCCTATATTGGATGCTATCTTAATTTCTCAACTGCATAGATGTTCTAAAACAACCAGGTGGCAAAATCAAGCCTGCATTCACCATGTTGATCTGTTGTTCTTCACTGGGGGAACATTGTGTTTTGATTTTTGTTAAATCTCTTGCGAATGTGCCATAGCTCCGACCTCACACCTCTTGATTCACACACACTTGTTGACCTGTCTCCTGGCTTCCTCATCTGCAGTGCCGTGTCTGAATGTGTTCCTACCTGTCCACCCTTTCCCTACCCCCTGCATCCACTGTTCCCTGCTGGAAGGTTCTCCATCTCCTCAATGGAGACCTTTGAATTTCCTACCTTAAGCTTCCCGAGTGCCCTATTTAGTCACTGCTTGGCTCTCCCTGGATGGTCACCTTCATTTTCATGATTGTGCCCTTCAGGACAACAATGACTTATAGCTGATGTTTCTTGAGCACTTTGTTATGCTGAGTACTGTTCTAGATGATTCTGCATATGTTTTCTCATCATTCTAACATCAGTTCTATGTTTCTACCAAAATTTATATATGTATATATATATATATTTTTTTTTTTTTTTAATTTAATTTTATTTTTTGTGACAGGGTCTCCCTGTAGCCCCAGCTGTCCTGGACTCACTGTGTAGACCAGGCTGGCCTCGAACTCACAAAGATCCGCCTGCCTCTGCCTCTCAAGTGCTGGGATTAAAGGTGTGTGCCACCACGCCCGGCTTTCCACTAAAAATATTTTATTATTTTTATTGTATGTGTATGAGTGTATTGCCTGCATGTAAGTGCACCCGTGTCATGCAATGCCCTTGGAGGTCAGAAGAGGGCGTCAGATCCCTGGAACTGGAGTTACAGATGGTTGTTAGTTGACGTGTGGGTGCTGGGAATCGAGCCTGGGTCCTCTGTAAGAGTAGCCAGTGCTCTTAACCACCAAGCCATCTCTCTAGCCCCTACGTTTCCATTTTATGAAAGGAGAAGCTGAGGTCAGACACAAAAGCATTTGGTCTACTGGTTTCTCGTTGGGTGTGAGATTTCCCTTTGTTTGGTGTCCCAGCTCGGGGTGTGGAACCTGTGGGTAGAGGCCAAGGTTGCTGCTTAGCATCCTACGACATGTAGCATGGTCCTCACGACACAGAATGGCCACGTCCAGCATGTCTATAGCCCTTGGCCAAGTCCTGCTATACACCTGGTTGAGTGCAGACAGTTCTTGAACACAATATCCTGATTTCTTGGGAACCCCTTGAGGGTGACTGGCCAGGTTTATCTGTTATCCTGGTTAGTCTTTTGTTTTTTTTAATTTTTTAAATTTTTGTATATGAGTGAATGTAACTCAGTGCAGTACGTGTGCAATGCCTGCAGAGGTGAAAAGAGGGTATCAGATTCCCTGGAACTAGAGTTATGGATGGTTGTTAGCTGCCATGTGGGTGCTGGGAACTGAACCTGGATCTTCTGTAAGAGCAGCCAGTGCTCTTAACTGCCGAGCCATCTCTCCAGCCTCTGTTTTTTATTTCTGACTGGACACATCCTCTAGTCACCCGGGAAGAGAGAGCCTCAGCGAAGAATTGTCTCCACCCAATTGGCCTGTGGCCGTGTCTGTGAGAGATGATCTCAATTGATGACTGAGTAGAAGGGCCCAGCCCACTGTGGGGAGCACCATCCCTGGACAGGTAGCCTGGACTGTATAAGAAAGCTCTCTGAGCCAGGTGTGGTGGTATAGGCCTTTAATCCCAGCACCGTGAGATGTGAGATCAAGGCCAGCGTGGCCTACGTAGCAAGTTCCAGGTTAGCTGGGGCTACAGAGAGAGCTTGTCTCAAGAAAGCTGAGCATGAGCCCAGGATAGAGCTGGTAAGCACGTTCCTCCATGGTTTCTGCTTCGGTTCCTGCTCTGACTTCCCGCAGTGACAGACCGTGGCCTGGAATATGAAATAAACCCTTTCCCATTGCTTTCGGCAGTGGTATTCGTCACCCACCAGGATGAAGCAAGACCATTTGGTTACCTGCGTCTTTCTCTT